TTTATTGTTAACTGTAAGAAATATGTATACATATTTCTAAAGAAATAATGAATTTTTATTTATTAATCTGAAATATTTTTATCATTTTAAACATTATTTCGAATGGATACCAATATTTGAGTAGACACACTGTTTATTTTAAACAGAATTTTATTTCATCTACCAGGACAAGAGAGGTGTGCTTAAAGGCAGTATACAACCTTGCTTAATCATGACATTCTTCATAGCTGAGTTGATTAAAGCATGTCTGATCTACTGATGGTTTCTCCTGCAAAGGGGTTGCAGGCTCGGATCCTGCTGAAGGTTACATTTTTTTTTTTCAGGCTGTTATACATAATAAAACTATTCAAAATAAACGTAGAGTCTACTCAAATATTGGTATCCACTAAAAATAATGTTTAAAGTTATAAAAAAAAGAAAAGAAAAAAAGAAATATATATGCACATTTGTCTTAATTAATCATTAACTTCTATATATGGTAAACAGAACAAACCAGTATGTATAATATGAAGAGATTCACATTCTAACACACACATAAAATACCATTTTTCCCTAATACACACACATATATAAAATACCATATTTCCCAACACACACACATATATAAAATACCATATTTCCCAACACACACACACACACATATAAAATACCATATTTCCCAACACACACACACACATATAAAATACCATATTTCCCAACACACACACACACATATAAAATACCATATTTCCCAACACACACACACACATATAAAATACCATATTTCCCAACACACACACACATATATATATATTATATATATATATAAAATACCATATTTCCCAACACACACATGCACACAAAATACCATATTTACCCAATACACACAATACCATATACTATAACTTTTGAATTTATTCAATTTAATTGGAGAAAAAAGATGGAATACAGGTGATAGACAGATATGAACAGACTGAGTCAGACAGGTGGGACATGAACAGACTGGGACAGATGAGCATGATATGAACCGACGGATGCGACACTGACAGACTGGGACAGTCTGCACACAGTTACAAGCATACTTGCCTATGTATTTTAAGATTAAAAACAAAAAAAAAAGTATTTCCTCAGCTTCAATAAGTACTGCACACACACACACACACACAAACATATATATACACGCAGAGTTATAAATACACACATACATATATATATGTATACATACACACAGAGTTATAAATACACACACATATATATATATATATATATATACACACAGAGTTATAAATACACATATACAGAGTTATAAATACACACATACATATATACACACACACATACATACACACAGTTATGAATACACACACACATATATATATATAAATGTACACACGCATATATACATTATATATATATATATATATATATATATATAAAAATGTACACACGTATATATACATTATATATAAATATACACATATATTCACACATTATATATATATATATATATATATATATATATATACACACACTTAACAAAAAACAGCCTACCTAGGACAATGGTATCTTATCTCCTTCAAAGCAAAAGCCTTTGGATTTCCAACTTATCCCATTATCCCTTTCACTTTTTGGAACAGCTTACATAATCCATTTTAAGGTTCACCACCATCTGCTTGACCACTTTCTCCCTAATTTTAATATCCACCATCGTCTAAAACTGCCTTCCTTTCAATTGCAATATGATCTATGGAAAACACTAGAAACTGCAGGGTGCCAAATCTGGACTGTAGGGAAGTTGGCAGACCTGAATGATATTAGATCTTGCCAAAAACCATGTATAAGAATGTGATGGTCACACAGTGGCATCTTACTACCAAGTGATTTGCCTCAGGAGATAAAGAATTTACATGCATGTGCAGTAAATTCTCCTCTTAAGGGTTGTTATGTTACATCAACACTGCACAACCAGCTCTCAAAATATTAAAAAATTTTGAGTACTTTCCAAACAGCCCATGTGTGTGTGTGTGTTTATGTATATAGGATTAATACAAATATAAAATTTGTCACTTAGTTGACCGATGCTACATTCAGCATATCAACTCTAGAGCTTCGTAGACAAACCTTTGAGTAATTGTTCAGTTCACTCATCAAGAGGTGTAGCAATTGTCTGTCAATTTTCTCATTTCCGTAATTTTTATATTAAGTTAAAAAATAATTTATGTGTTTTTTATTGATGTTGGGTTGATTTTTTTGTGTATGCCTGTATATGTGTACACACATGTAGGACATTGTGATCATTTCTTCCTCTCATAATTTTTCTCGTCTCTGTATACTCTTTCATTATTGATTTCTTTATATATATATATATATATATATATATAAAGAAATAAAACATTTTTTATACATGAACCCCACCTATTTTTGTTACTGGTCAGTTCATGCAAGTTAGCAATCAACAGCTTGGAATGAGAAAAATTCCCAAAAACTTTTAATTAAAAAAGAACATAATTTTTTTTGTTGAAAATACTTTGATGAAGTCATGATAAAAAATTTACCAACTATAAACACACATCAAAAATTCTATATTACATCACCAACCAAAAGGTCTAGTGTATACTTAACTACAATGACCAGTATTGATGTAAAAACTTTCCCAAATTAACCTGCAGACAAACTTCAAATATAAATAATGCCTTATATATATATATATATATATATATATATATATATATATATATATATATACACACACACACACAAATGTAATGAAAGTGAATATATAAATTCTAACATTCACAGCATTAATTCAAAAGGGGGCTCAATACTTGTAGTAGAACAATAATTATTTATTATAATTTTATCATATAGATAAAAACAGTGAGTAAACTGTTTTTGTCTATGATAAAATTATAATAAATAATTAATAATTAATAATTCTTTCATAAGATCTCTTGAATATTCAGACCAGTTGACAAAAATGAATTAATATACTCTTTAATAAATAAATGGAGTGTCTACTCAAATATGGGTTTCCACTAAAAATAATGTTTGAATAATAAAATCTGTCAAATTAATTAATAAAAATCTGTCACTTCTATATATATATATATATATATATATATATATATATATATATATATGTGTGTGAAAATATATAGAAAATAGGAAGGAACTGGTTAGGTAAATAATAAATGAGACCTCTTATGTCGCGAGTTGGAATCATATTTTTAAATAAATCTCCGAGAGATAGCAAGGAGAATAGATGTGTTCTTTTTATTATTTGTCTATTTGATAATCATTTTGTTTAAAACCATTTTCTGACAGGATGTAGGCAATCCTCACTTTGCACAAATCTCTCTTTTATTATTATTGTGCGGAAATTATTCAAAATTCACAGCCATATAGCCAATTAGACATTACATGGCAGTTCAGCACTTTTTTCTTTGTCTCTAAGAACAATTCCCTATCTCTTAATACTTTGCTTAGTTTCTGGAAGACATATTTTGCTATTCCAATGTGCATTCAGATTTGTGTTACATTTTCCATCATCTGTTACACAGACAGTGGAATTTCTGAACCTGTTTGATTTTGACATCCCCAATATGTAGATTACACATTGGACTGTCTCTTTTGCTGACAACCTTACTTTTTATCTTCTTAGATGTAACAGTCAATTCTATTGTTCAATATTTTAAAAAATGATTAGATTGTAGAAAGTATTTTTTATCAATGTTTGAATTACAATATTATTTTTGAGGAAATATGCTCAAACTCAAGCAATTTGATATGCACTTTCTCACATTCATATTATAATACAATTAATATTACTTTCTTTTTCTTTTACAGTGTCATTCATTCTGTACAAGATCTGAGAGTAAAGGGTTACAGAGTAAGAGGCACAGTTTATGCGGATATGTAGGGAAGATAATGGTTAACCCTAGACTTGAACAGGTTAAAATTGTAGTGATCAGGGAAACATCCTCTTAGCAATCAGTTTCACAAAGCAGCGACTCATGGGATGAAGCTACTCAAGTGGAACTGACATCACAACAATGAAATACTAAATGAATGAAGATGGTTTGCTACAATGGACATTGTATGGCAGGTCTTAGCTGGGATGGTTAGAATTGGTGGTTTGTTACAATGGACATGGCACGGCAGGTCTTAGCTATGAAGGTTAGAATTGGTGGTTCGCTACAATGGACATGGCATGGCAGGTCTTTGCTGTGAAGATTAGAATTTGAGGTTCATTAAAAAGGACATGGGATGGGAGGTCTTAGCTATGAAGTTTAGAATTGGTGGTTCGCTACACTAGACATGGCAGGTCTTAGCTGTGAAGGTTAGAATTGGTGGAACAAAGGAATGTAGTTTGTGTGAATCCTTTCCATGGAAATAGTGATAGGCAACTAGAGGCTTGCAACATTTTGTCTGTGAGGAAAGGGTTGTCATGTGAAAAATAACTACAAAATTGTTAATATTATTTCAGACAGTTTCATTTTTCTATAACTTTACCAAAATTTTACAAATATTTACACAAAAAAATACTTATATTTGTAAAACATGTCAGCTTTCTTTCAAGCACAAAAATCTATATGCATATTTTGATGTCATTAGACCTTTGAGCAAGTTGATCAGTTTATGGCCCATGAATGTTTCATCTGTTTTTGTTATGCTTTTAATTTCAGTATATATGAGTGATATTGAAATGAATTCATCTGTAAGGTAACTCTTATACCTCTGACACCATTTCCACTGATGATTCTGATCAACAATCTTCTTTTGATTTGTTTTTTATGGCTTATCAACCCTTTCCATCTTATTTAAAACAAGAAAAAATTTTTCCATTTTTTTGAGATAATAATGGTTTAGTGATACAGGTTTTACTAATTAACCCATAGCTTGGGGGATCAAAGGTGGATTCATGTCTTTCCCAAGGGTATTTATGCATGTGATTATAATGAATTCAATGGGAATTGGAACAATTCTGAGCCATTATCTATTACACAATCCACACATCCAAGCTTACAGCACCTAGTATTCCCAAGTGGTCACCAATCTAGGTATTGATCACACTCATCTTTGCTTAACTTTGGTGATCATACAGGAACTGGTGCTTCAATGTAATAAGCTTGTTTAGTTGATTTATTCTTGTTATATTCTGTACTAATAAGAATATATACTTGACAAACATGGTAGATAGAATAAGTAAAGTTTTATTGTAAAAACCAATACAATAAGAAATAAGGTAACAGTTATATGCACGGTCATTGCAAGTCAATCCAGTAGTATGTGCTGCTATTGGAAGATTGGTAGTTTTCACATAAGTCCGAGTCATACTCAACAGATCTCAGCTAGATGGCATCTAGCAACTGCCCCATGCAGTTACATGTGACACAAGGCTGAATTTAAGGTGGGTTTCCCAAGCATGTAGGCTCGGCCAAAAAATCCCTGTAGACCCTGCATAAACATGATCGGGTCTGTCTACCTCCCTGGATGAAACTCTGCCCTTTGGCATAGTGTCGTCCGGGTTCCTCTCTGCCCGAAGGCAGATAGTTTGACAGCACATTTGGAACAGATTCCAGCAAGACTCTGTAGTCTGTTGACTTACAGATACTTATAGCTAGTTACTAACTATAGTGTAGTCACTCATGGGGGTGACAGGTTATTCCATTGCATCAATTCTTTACTTCTTCTGTGAGATCTTGTTGAGCATCACAACTCTGTCCTCTTGGCAGTTCAGATCATGCTGTTGTATCTGTTAATATTTCTTTTGAATTTTCTATTAGAAAGGAACCTCCTATTCACAAAACTTCTTTCTTTTAATGTCCTGGATATGACAGTAAATTACATCTGGCTGCAAGACCTCTGATCAGGAGGTTTTGAGGAGCATGGAACCACCTCTTAATTGCTACTGTTCCAAGGTCCACCCTAACCCAGATTGGTAGCAAAATTTAGTTTATGATATCTACATTAAGGATCAAAATTCTACTGAAAAATTCTAAGTATTGAGTTTTAAGGCAACCAAATGTATTCCTTGCAGTCAATGGAAATTCATTTGTCAAAGAAAATGTGACAAAGATTGAAACTGTGTTTGTTTTATATTCATAATGTTTAATTAGCAGGAATTTTGTATGTACTCTTGTTACAAGTCTTTCTGTTGATTCAGGAATTAAATACAGGTGATGGTTACAATATGGCTATGATCAAGTTTGGAGATTTACTTATTTGCAATGATCTAAAGTTATACAAAGGTTCAAACCACACCATGACCTTCCATATACTCCCGGTCTGTTTTATTTATTGTAAATAACCTTTTTTGAGGGAATATAATCTATTCCCAACTCAGATTTAGTTGATAACTATTCCTTTAAGTTTTTTTTCTGGCACAACATCATTTAATTCAACCATTGACCTCTTGCGGACATGCCTCAACAGGTGAAAAGTCACTATCAACTGGTTACCTATATGTTTCATTTGTTTTGTTTCTTCCCTTATTTTTTTTATTAGCTTGAAGCAATGTCACATATGCCTCCATATGCAAAACACCCATCTTATATATATATATATATATATATATATATATATATATATATATATATATATATATGTGTGTGTGTGTGTTATTACTGTTAATATTAATTTCAGCAAATACACATGTTTGAATTGGCACCTTTGTTATTTTAAACAGGAGTGACAACTCAAACACGTGTAGCCACTAAAAATAATACTTACATCAATAAGAAATAATGTTGAGTTAAAAAATCCATAATGGATAGTGGCTCGGATTGAGGAATTGGAAAGCCGAGTTTCACTTACATGCTAATACCCTTGAGAAAGGTATGAATCCTATTCTCCTCCCAGCTATGGGTAAATAGCAGGACAGACTGTGTTCTATAGCCTTGGATGGCAACTGGTCTACCGCAGAAAGAAATGGCAATCTACTGTGGTAAAAAGTCTGCTTCGTCATCAAGATACATGACCACCTAAGCATGTATCATGCATGGCACATAACTGACTGATATATATATATATATATATATATATATATATATATATATATATATATGTATGTGTGTGTGTGTGTGTGTCAAAATGATAAATATTTAATATTTCAGATGATATGTTTTGCCTTGTTAAAATATAATAATGCCAGATAATTGGTGAAGCATGTCGAAATAAAAAATTATTCCAATTGTTTTACATTTTTTATATATATATATATATATATATATATATATATATATATATATATATGACTGTATGCTCCTTTCATTAGTTGAGCACTGATGTTAAATCAGTTGGGCTTCGATCTTGGCTCGAAGCAATCTCATGTCTAACCACACTGATGAGCTGTGATACAGTGAAATAGTCTGTTTGTAGATATATATATATATATATATATTTTATAAAATATAAAAACACACAAAAAAAAACAAACAAATAACTATGACTACATGAAAATTCATATAGGTAACTACAGTAGTGGTAAGGATTACATTTTTCTTTTATTATCTATATTTAAGACAAAAATTCTAATTCCTTGGTATTCTCTATTTTCTACCTCCTTGAAAGTACATTGTATACTTTTTCCATTTATCTCAATATATTTTTTCAAAACAGCAAGCATTTGTCTTGCCATTTGTGATATTTCATTACAAATATATATATATATATATATATATATATGTATATGATGATGATGGACTCTCTCATTGTTTTCGATGTATGAGTATCTTTCAGTTCAGTTTTTATGTTTTGTATGAGACAACAGTCCTGCATGGAACTTGCAATCAAATACACACGAAGCGCATACTAAAGGGTTGACTGTCATATGGGCTGATGTATTAGCCAGAGATTTAGTGTTAATTTTTAATTCTCTCATATGGTTGAGATGATTCTTTTCAAAGTTAGTTATACCTTGGTAGCTGATGTTTATCCAATTTGCTTGGTTTTTAACAGCAAGTTCAAACTCCCCTATAGGATATATATATATATATATATATATATATATATATATATATATATATATATGGGCAAATATGATATATAAATTTCTATATATCAGTACAACATCAGGCAAATTACTGATCAAATGGAAAAAATGTTGTGTGTTTAATCCTCTAAAGGAACTTCAATGAACTAAAGTAATATTTTTTTGATGGAATTATATATATGTAGGAAAGTGAGGGGTGATGTAAAAATGTGAGTGTTAGTCAATGCATTAGTTGCTTATCATAATAAGTCTAAACATAATTTTGATTTGAAAGTATTACTTTAATTAAAAGAGAAAGCAATCTACTAAAGTGAGAATGTATAGAAAGTGTTTTGATTACTAAATCATCCACAATAAATTTGCATCCTGGTTCTTATGACATTACACTTTTCTTGGCAAATTTTTGTCATCACAATGTGGGATATTTTAAAACAAAAATGATACAAACAGAAATGTGAGTAAAGTGAACAAAATCAGCTCGACTGTGTGTCCAGACATATCTGAAAAAAATAAATATTTGAATTTCTTGCATTCTCACATCATCAGTGTTTTTCCTCAAAAAATAGTCAAAATTGACATTCACATTTTTAAATCTCCCCTCTCACCCTTACACATATATAATCCAATTGACTAAAATTATTACTTTATTCCAATGAAGTCCTTCTTGAGGATGAAACAAGTAACACAGAATTTTTACACTTTCACTTGCCTATATAAGTGTGTGTGTATGAAAATTTACATGTATATATTTATACATACATACAAAGTGTTACCAAATAGTCCAAGGAAAAAGATTACCCAAATTACTTTCCACCATCAGTGCATGCAATGATGTCTTTATCAGAAGATGACCCTGGGATTACATACACAAACATCACCCACACAAAAGAGAGCAAAGAGTGAGGTAGAAAGAAACAAAAAAAGACAATAACAGGTATTGTCTCCAAACCATACTAGTGTTCTACTGTGTGAAAGCTGAACTCAGTGTTTTGTATCAAGAGCTTTCTCACCATTTCTTCATTGGGTGTACACGTATGATGTATATGATGGGATGCTGAAAAGTTCTCAGCCCAACTCATTTAGCCCAAATCAATATTTCAGTTGGATTAATGAATTGTGGAAATTGGTTGAACTGAGAACTTTTTGACACTCATAGTTATTTTAAAATTTAAAAAAAAAATTAGGTTCCTAAAAATAAATAATAAAATAATAAACAGTACTGTACTAATATATACAGTAAAGCAAGAAGGAAATTGATAAAAAAATCTCATCATGAAAATATATGTAAGAGTCAATACATAAGATGACAATATTTTAAATAATTATGAGACTAAGTCGAAAAGCTTTTAAATGCTGTGGTTTGTCAACGTGATGTGTGATAGGCTCAGCTTCTTCAGGTTGGAATAAAAGACAAAACTGTGTGTAAGGAAATTGTGTTGGTGTTTTTTTTGTCATTCCCATCTGAAGAAGTCGAATATAACACCTTCTCCATTTTGTCTCATAATCTCCACTTTTGCACACATGTATATGAGAATGATATATATTTTTATATATCAAGAACAATATTGGGGAAAAATGAAAAACCAAGTGGCAAAAGGTTTCTTGTGATGCATTTCGTCCTTCAGGACTGCAGACTAAATTTGTTATGTTGGTAGGACAACATATGCGCATGGCAAAAGGGTGCTGGGAATTCTAGAATTTTTTTTTTTTTAAATTGAGCCTTATTAATTTAGAGTCTAAAAAAAAAAAAAATCTAAAATTCCCAGCACCTCTCTGTTGTGCACATGTGTCGTCCTACCAACATAACAAATTTAGTCCAATGAAGTCCTGACCGATGAAATGCATTACAAGTAAACTTTTTCCACTTTAGCATATGCATATATCAGTCAGTTATGTGCCATGCATGATACATGCTTAGGCGATCATGTATCTTTTGATACATGACTGACGTGAGTTTTTTCCCTACTGTAGGTCGCCATTTCTTTCTGCGGTAAACCAGTTGCCATCCAAGGCTATAGAATCTGGTCTGTCCTGGTATTTTCCCATAGCTGGGGGGGGGGGGAGAAGAGGATTCATACCTTTCTCAAAGGGATGAGCATGTAAGCAATGAATGAAATGGATTTGACT